GAGGTACATTGAGGATTAATTCAACTAGCTTGCTATTCAGAAGTACAAGCAAGTTCTGAGAAATGAAGTTTCTTGCTAAAGAGCATAGAGCATCCACGCTCCTGTTCCAAGTGTGGTGCCATTATACCCAACAGACCTTTTGTTTTGTTTTGTTTTTAATAGTCATGCAGTTGTAGGGGAAGACAGTTTAATTACTCATAACCTGACAAAGCGTATTTGCCCTCACTTTCCTATCTTCCCATCAAATTTAGAAGTTTCTATTTTCATACAATGTGAGTTTTTATTTTTTTAGGAATTTAAAATAGTGTATATGAATTATCTAATGTAATTTATTTTAAACACACCTAGAGCTTTACCATAGCCAACTTAGCTATAGCTTTGTTCAAAGTATATCTTTTTATTCAAGTACAAGACTTTCTTCCATGAAGCAAAGTGGGCATAGCATAAGGTTCACTATTTCGTATTTTCTGTATACACTGGGACATGAATGAGGACATGCTTTCCTAAGACCTCAAAAATGGAATCATTACAGGATAAGAAATTAGAAAGCTGAAATAATCACAACATTATATAATGTTGGGATTCCCACACTGCTATACCATCGTACCTCTATTTATAACAGGAAATAAAATTACAACTATAAAAGATGAAAAGACACACACACAAAAGGGTCAAGCTCTCTATTTTAGATTAAGAAAAATTAGCAAAGATTTAAAAAATGAGCTTCAGGTCATCCAAGTATACAAAGATAATACAAAGCTGTCTAGTTTTAATTCAGCTTTATATTGTGGCCACTTTTAGAAACTGAAATAAGTGTGCCTACTGAGATCTCCAGCCACAAGCAAACTCAACTTATGGGCCTCCTAGGCTCCTCTGATAAAATTACGATTTTTAATTTTTGGCTAGAGATTCACATACCAATATTTCATTACTATAATTAAAAAATAGAAGCCAAATGAGATATTATATAATATTTAATTATTATATTAAACATATGCTTCTTTTTAAAATATTATTATACTTTAAGTATAACGTGCAGGTGCATGTGCATAACGTGCAGGTTTGTTACATATGTATACTTGTGCCATGTTGGCATGCTGCACCCATCAACTCATCAGCACCCATCAACTCGTCATTTACATCAGGTATATGTGGTTTTCCTGACTATCATAAGAGAAACAAATTATTTAGAGATGCAGTCTAATTTCTTTGTAGCAGTGCTAGTATTTACCAACTGGTTTTGTGAAGAAGTTGTGAAATAGCTCTAAGAGGAAAAGAGCACTAAATGCCTACATTAAGAAAAAAGAAAGATATCAGATAAGAAGCTTAATTTCGTATCTCAAGGAACTAGTCAAAGAAGAACAAAATAAGTCCAAAGTCAGCAGAAAGAAGAAAAAAATAAGTATTGCAGCAAAAATAAATAAAATAGAGATTAGAAGAATATAAAAGATCAATGAAACTAAGAGTTGGAATTTGAAAAAGATAAATAAAATTAGCATGCATTTAGCTAGACTAAGGGAAAAAGAGAGAAGACTCAAATAAAATGAGAAAGAGGAGATGTTACAACTAATACCACAGAAATGCAAAGGACAATAACAGACTACTATGAACAATGATATATCTAACAGGTTAACCTAGAAGAAATAGATAAATTCCCAAAAAGATACAACCTACCAAGATTGAACCATGAAGAAACAGGAAATCTGAACAGACCAATAACGAGTAAGGAGAATGAATTGTAATTAAAGGTCTCTTAGCAAGGAAAAGCTCAGGACTTAACAGTGTTATTGATGTATTTTACCAAAAATAAAAAAAAAGAAAAATTAGAGAATTAACACCAAATCCTTCCCAAACTCTTGCAAAAAATTTAAGAGGAGAGTACACTCCCAAACTCATTTTATGAAGCTAGCATTACCCTGATATCAAAGCCAGTTAAGGGCTCTATAGGAAAAGAAAATTATAGGGTAATATTTCTGACAAACACAGAGACAAAAATTCTCAATGAAATTCTAACAAGCCAAATTCAATAATAAATCAAAATGTTAATACACCATAATCAAGTGGGATTTATCCCTAGGATGTAAAAATGTTTCAACATATGCAAATCTGTAAGTGCGATAAGCCATATTAATAAGAAGAATGAATGACAAAAATCATATGACCATCTCAATGGAAGCAGTAAAAGCATGTAACAAAATTCAACATCCGTTCATCATAAAAAGCTCAACAAATTAGGTATAAAAATGCATCACAACACAATTAGTGCCATATATTACAAACTCACAGCTAATGTCATCTTTACTTGTACAAAGTTGAAAGCTTTTCTACTAAGATCAGGAGCAAGAGAAGGATGTTCACCCCAACTGCTTCTATTCAATATAATAATAAAAGTTCTAGCCAGAAAAACTGGGCAAGAGAAAGAAAAAAAAATACACCCAAATTGGAAAAGAAAAAAGTTAAATTGTTTCTGTTTGCAGATGACATGATCTTTTATGTAGAAAACTCTAAATATTCCTTGAAAAAACTGTTAAACTAATAAATTCAGTAAAGTTGCAGTACACAAAATCAACGTACAAAAATCAGTAGTTTTTGTACACTGACAAGGTATCTGAAAAAGAGACAAGAAAGGATCCCATTTACAATAGCATCAAAAAAATACTTAGGATTGGAAGAATTAGTATTGCTAAAATATCCATATTACTCACAATGATCTACCAATTCAATGAAATTTTTGTCAAAATATTGATGACTTTTTCACAGAAATATAAAAAACAATTCTAAAATTTCTATGGAACCACAAAAGACCCAGAATAGTCAAAGCAATCTTGAGAAACAAGAAGAAAGCTGAAGACATCATATTATCTAACATCAAACCATACTACACAGCTATGGCAATAAAAACAGCAAGGTACTGACATAAAGAGTGACATAAAGACCACTGAAACAAAGCAAACAGTCCAGAAATGAATCTATGCACTTACAGTCAATTGATTTTTGTCAAAGGTTGCAAGAACACAGAATGAGGAAATAACAGTCTCTTCAATAAACAGATGTTGGGAAAATTGAATATCCACATAGAGAAGAACAAAATTAGCCCTTTATCTCACACCATATTTAAAAATCAACTCAAAATGGACTAAAGGCTTAAATCAAAGACCTGAAACTGGAAAACTATTAGAAGGAAGTATAGGGAAAAAAGTTTTTGACATTGGACTGGGCATTGATTTTTTCTTTTTCTTCTTCTTCTTCTTCTTCTTTTTTTTTTTTTTTTATATATATAAATCCCAAAGCCCAGACAACAGAAGCAAAATAAACAAATGGGATTGCATTAAGCTAAAAAGCTTTTGCACAGCAACGAACATAAATAATAGACTGAAAAGACAACCTATGGAGTGAGAGAAAATATTTAAAACCATATATCTGCAAATGCTTAATATCCAAAACACATATCAGGAACTCAAACAACTCAATAGTAAGAAAAGGAATAACCTCCCTTAAAAATGGGCAAAATATTTGAAAAGATATTTCTCAAAGGAAGAAATACAAATGACCAACAGGTATATGAAAAAATCCTAACATCATTCATCATCAGGGAAATACAAATTAAAACCATAATGAAATATCACCTCACACCTGTTAAAATGAATATTATCAAAAAGATTGAAGATAACAAAGTTGGTGAAGATGTGGAGAAAGGGGAACATTTGACCACCGTTGGTAGAAATATAAATTACTTCATCTATTGTGGAAAATACTATAGAGATTCCTTAAAAACTACCATATGATCCAACAATCCCTTTACTGGGAATATAGCCAAAGGAAATGAAATTAGTGTGTTGAAGACACATCTGCATTCTCATGTTCATTGCAGCATTATTCACAATAGCCTAAATATGGAATCAATCTATGTATCAATTGACAGATGAATTAATAAATAAAATGTGGTGCATGTATGTATCTATCTATATATAAAATAAAAAATCATTCATCCTTAAAAAAGAAGCAAATCTTGTCATTTGTGACAACATAAATGAACCAGGAGGACATAGCTAAGTGAATAAGTCAGGCACGGGAAGACAAATACTTCATGATCTCACTTATATGTAAGATCTAAAAAAGTTTAACTCTTGGGAGGCCGAGGAGGGCGGATCATGAGGCAGGAGATTGAGACCATCCTGGCTAACACGGTAAAACCCCGTCTCCACTAAAAATACAAAAAATTAGCCAGGCGTGATGGCGGGCGCCTGTAGTCCCAGCTACTCGGGAGGCTGAGGCAGGAGAATGGCGTGAGGCGGAGCTAGCAGTGAGCCGAGATCTCGCCACTGCACTTCAGCCTGGGCTACAGAGCGAGACTCCCTCTCAAAAAAAAAAAAAGAAAAAAAAGAAAAAGAAAAAAAGTTGAACTCATAGATCCGGAAAGTAGGATGCCAGTGGCTCGGGGAAAGTTCGTGGAAGGGAGTAAAGTTCCAGTTAGATGGGATGAATAAGTTAATAGTTAATAATAACATATTTTATACTTAAAAATTGCTAAGAGAATAAATATTTTAAATGTTCTTGTTACAAAAATAATAAGAATGAGAGATGATAGTATGCTAATTAGGTTGATTTAATTATTTCACAATGTCCACATATAGCAAAGCATCATGTTGTACTGTAAAAATAAACAATTTTTATTTGTCAGTTGTACCTTCATAAAGTTGAAAGACCTCACTTGAAAAAAATAACAGTGGAAAACATTGCTACTCTTTTACTGCTAGAAATAAATTTTCACTACCCACATTACAAAGTAAAAACCCTGACTTTGTAATCAAATCTACTGAAAATTCAGTCCCCAAAGTCAAATGTCATCAATAAAAGTATTTTAATGTAGATTTAAATGCATGACCAGTAAGATGTGCTGTAAATAAAGAAAATAAATATTATTTAGTTTAAAAGACAGGAAAATAAAACACATTTGAAAAGGCTAATCTTATTGTAAGATGCATGCATAGAATACATACTGGGTTTAGAAGGATTGTGAGAAAAAGTTCACCTCCTCTGATACTTTTATCCAGTTCTTGGGGTCCTCCTGGATATTCTTTGTAGAAAATAGTGTGAGTGAACAACCCACAAGTCTGTCGAGGGAGGACCTGAGTAAAAGAGGGGAAAAACAGCACCCGGACATGATTTAATTAAGAACTTCACCACTATCTCATAACTTTAGAATCTGCAAATTGTAATTTCCTATTGGATTTTCTTGGTTGCTAAAGTCAAAATCTTATTATAATCACAAGTTGATGTTGGTGTAATTCTGTAAATATTAAGGAAGTTTCCATATCAAAGGCATAAAAAATAAAGGTAAAATAATTTTCAGTTGGTTTTATAAATCTAACCCACCACCTGTGTTATGTTAAATGATTACGGAAAATGCAAAGCCTTCTTAGGGTTAATTTCATCCAAAGATGGAAATTCTCCAAGGTTACATCTTTCATGCCATTAGGCCATCACTCTCCTTGCTTCTAAAATCAAGTCCTGCATTGTAAAGGTATTCAAGTACTGGGATTCAAACAATCGGTTTTCATAACCCCTTCCACACTAACTTTGTTTTCACTACACTCTGAATTTAAATTTTATCACATAATAGTCAAATTATTTAGTGATTACTTCTGGTATATTTTGAGGTTGTTTCTTCTGTAAATCTGAATGTTTAATAAAGAAAGCAAATAAGTAATTTTATTCCAAAATCATATTTTGAATAACAAACTACTGGTAATTTAATGGACAAATGCATCTAATTGCCTAGAGGTTTTTTTTTTTAATTATTTGCTTAATTATCATAAGGGTTAATCTTACATTTAAAGTAAATAAATGAATATAATATTGGTTAAAAAGAATGCTTTTATTTCATAATATGTTGAATGGTCATTCAAGGCAAGGAATTAATGCCATACAAGATCCAGTGATGTTTTAGACACAGAAGATAAAGGAAGGGTAAAGAGAAACCTGGGTATTTTCATTATGATTTGAAATTATGTGAGTAATTCTGTTTATACCTTCTGGATTTCTATGGCCATCAATGTCACTATTTGCATTACCAATAACTTCTCTTAAATTTGAGGCTTCTTCAGGCCTTCTGGTACCAATTTACAATAAAATAAAGCTTCACGACTAATAAATATTGTGTGTCAGCTCTGGTTAGATATGTGTGTGTGCGGTTGCTTTACTCACAGATAGTGGTTAGATAGAAAAATAAATCATAGATAGATAGATGATGGATTTAACAGCAATATGAATAATGAATTAGGAAGGTGTAAATATTTAAATGAGTGAGAACAGTTTGTAAACCAATGCTCTGATCTTGGCAACTGATTATGAAAACATCATCTAAGTCACTAGAAGTAGGGATACTTGTTTTAAAATAGGCTATTTTATCTCAAACTGAGTAATATATATTTTTTTACCAATGAATGATTGTAAATTGCCATCTAAAATCCAATTGGTTTTATTGGCGTTTATAGGATTCCTACATTCTATAAACTTTCAATTACTATATCTGAAAAGAAAAACACATACCTCCCTTTTTGGAGTATGCAAGGAAAAGACAAAAACAAAAACAAAAAAAGAGCAGTATTCTTAGATACTTTTGAGTGTCTGAAAGCCAAAATAAACTGAGTGGATAAATTTAACTCTCAGATGCTATTTGTTACATTCTGTCTGTTGACAGAATAACAACTTGAGAGGTGTTTTCTTGATCCGTGGAGCCTTACTCTGCCTGTAAAACTCTCAGTAAAACCACTCAACCAAATAGATAATGAGAAATTTCCTAGGAAAAGTACAGAACCCCCAGGCAAAATTTCAACACTGAAACTACAGTGGATAATCTATACATAATTCATTCCTCTTAGTTTCAGCTTGTTTTAGATTTGCCAAAGCCACTCCACAGCTTAGGAGCAAGCCTATAGCCAAAAGATGTGTTAATGCATAACCAGTCACCATTGAGATATGTTGGTCATTTCTGATTATCATGTAAAAGAGGTTTGAGGTTACATCCTTAGAGGAAAGGGCCCTCTGTTTTCATTCCACATGTAGATATTAACATCTTTTAATATACATGGCTCTTTGTGCTCACCATGATGCTATTGTGAATGAAGCCCTTTCTGTACCGGGCAGGTTTCAGATGTGGATATTCTTCAGTGCTGGTGACTTGAATACCCCAGACCTTCTTCCAAGCTGCATACAGCTGAATGTGAACTGGGTAGACCCCTGAGTGATGTGGGGCCACAGCATAGCCCATGTTGATTGGTATTCCATGTTCCTAAAAGAAAGCCAGAGCAACATCATGATGGAACATGGCCAATTAATTCAGTGAAAATCATTTCCACCAACATCCATTTAGAATACATTGAACTCTATGCTAAATTTGAGAATTAAAAATCCAGCAAGGTAGAGGTTTTATCTTCAAGCAGCTCATAATCTTACAGAACTCTGAAGTCATAACAGATATAGTCATTACTTCGGGCATGTGGTGTGTGGGTGAGATTAATTTAAAATTTTGAATATGTAAAGTTTTGGGGGAAGATAAGAAGTGAAATTAGCCCTTCCTCGGATAAATGTTGGGGGGTGGGGAAAGGTGTCATTTGAGGAAGCGCCCAAATATGAAGGATGAAAGTGCATAGAATGCATGTGTACATGTGTGTGTGTTGTGTGTGTATGTGTGTGTGGTGTTGAAGAAAATCAGAAAGGTAAGTATGAATAATGAAGTGGTGAGCTTTTACATTTAAACTGAAGGATTTGGGATTAATTTGATTTCAACAAGGTAGATAAGGAAGCCCTCTGAGCCTGGAGGACCAAGATCTGCTCTGAGTGACAACATGGTAAGATAAACTGTAAGGGGGAGAAAATGAATAAGGGCTATGCATTAGGAAACTACTTCTATGGTGCCAATTAGGTGAAGATAGGTAACTAAATTCAATTATTTATGGTCAGATTCAAAGGCAAGAGATTAATACCATACAAGATCCAGTGATATTTTAGACACCCAGGGTAAAGGAAAGGTAAAGGTTAAGATTTTCTCCTTGGTTTTGAACCTAAACAACTCAATCTATTTTTATAAAACCTACACTTTACTATGAGATTCCTGGGTAAACTGTCAACTCTAAAAGAAAACAAGTATAAGTTTAAACAACAATATAAAAAAAAATTGTCAAAGAATGGGATTATATTGCTAGGTACATAAAATAGATCTGCAGTTTTCTAATTTCTGCTTCTTTATATCCCTCCCTTTAAATGCTTATCTGCTTTAAAAGACTCCTTGTAGGATTGAATGTCATCAATTGAGGTTATAAATGACAATGCACAGTCATATATGAAAGCTGATTGAATCAATAAAACAGAACACAAAAGTGTTGACTTGACAATTACCATTTATATTTTCTATTACATGGTACCCAGCATAGGAAAAGAATTCAGTCTGGTATAATAAGCAAATAGTGAATGGATCACATATCTACAATGCCTTAGTCATACACTACACTCAGCTCAGAAGATGAACCCTAAATTTTTCACAAGTCTCCATCATTCTTCCTTTCATGTAATGACCCTCATTGTATAGCCAAAGTCACCTCTCTTTCTTCAAGACTATGGGTGTTTTCTAACATCTATTACAGTAAATGACTCTGTAGAAGACTGAATTATGAAATCAATGCTGTAAAATGAGCTAGAGTCTTTTGCTAGACACTGGGGAAATTTTCATTTCTTGATCTGTGCAGAAGAAAAATACTTCTTCCTAGCACTTGTGTTTCCAATACAAGGCAAAGCTGGAAAAGTCCAGTAATAAAAGTACTTGGAAACTACCAGAGAGGACAGGCAACAGTTGTTACCCTGATATCATTAGGGGCCATGTACTGGGACAGCCTTAGTTCTCTCAGGTTTGTTCCATGCTCCCCAGTGAGTGATCACAAAGTGTTTTGAGGATAAGCAATCCTCCAGCATCCATGACGTTGCAAGCTTGTGGATGCATTGGGTGTGAGACACAGATGTACTTCATGAGAAAAATCTAGAGACAAGCGTGTCCAAACTCCTCTGTCTGGTAAATAGAATTTGTATGAATGTGCCTAGAGAGGTGCTCCTGATTCACAAGAAAAGGGAATCAAACCTGTTATTCTCCTTTTTACTCTCTCAAGTGATTCATACTGAGGTTTTATAAAACTTGTCCCACAATGTGAAAAGTGACAAAATCAACAGTGTACAAATCCTAATAGTCTTTACTAATCACTTCGTTAGTCCTCATTCTCTACAACTGTATAAATTTTACTCTAAATTTGGGGCCTAGAAGGTTAGATAGAGTATGTGAGTGTCCTGGATACAAAACAATGAAAAATAAAATCAGCAAAAAGTTTTGAAATATCAAACAACTATATCCCTCAGGAAAAAAAAAAGAGACATTTCACTTTTGATAGGTAATAAAATGAATTGAAGAACTTTCATAAAAAACAAAAGGTAAAAAGCGATTGATTTGGTGAGTAGGAAGGAGGGGGCAGTAAAAAAATTCTACTATATTTATTGATTTCTAGGGGTCCAGTGTTATACTGTTAAAACGTCATCTTATCACACTGGCAACTGGAGCTCAATTAAAATAGTAAATCACACTACATAATTATGAGTTTATGCTTTTTCAATCTAAATGACAACACAAAGTGAGAAGTAATTCCCTAGCAACACTTTAGCTGTTATTATGGGGCTTACTGACCGAGAAGCTTCTATTCTTTACTGTCCAGGGCTTAAAATCTACTTCGCAGAGACTTGACCAACTAGAAAATCAACCAAGCACCATATCTCCACAAGATCACAAAAATTACAAAATTTGAAAAGCCTTTCAGTGTAAATATAGGAAGCACTAGAGACTTCATAAAAATAGACACATAAATGACAGAAAACAAATAAATTCAAATATGGCTTTAATTATTTATTAGAACAATGTCTCTTATAGGATCTATGGAGTCTATACTACAATAAGACATGATACCACAAATATTTAGAGGGATTTAACTTGATCTAATGTTTCCAGTCCATTAAATCCCAGTTGGTTGTGAAATGAGACATTGCAGTAACTTACTATATAAAAAAGATCACCATTTTTCAAAAATTAGAATAAAATAAAATGTATTTAGCACTGAAGCTGTAATAGCAACTGAAATATAATGTCATTTAATTTTGCCTTGATAACTCCTACTGATTATATCTTCTTTTAATTGCTTAGTACCTGATATTGAAATGGGATAGTCCCCTTGGGTTGGCTCGTGTACTCAGCCCACAGCTCTCAATTCCTCACAGGACGGGGAGCATGCAGGTGAATGAGCAGGTGCAGAGGCCGGCATGAGTGCTTCTGGGCACCAGCAGGATAGCTGCAGTGTGCTCTTTTAGCTTTGCCGTCCATGGTTGGCTTAACAGCTCAGTGGAAGGTCAGGTGACAGCCTTTTGCACCCACCCTCTTGGTACCCAAGTTCTTGTCCAGTGTCGAGGAAGAATCAGGTCGCATGAAGGAATTGAAGGGTGGTGAATGTGGGGGATTTTATTCAGTTTGTCCGTGGCCGAACACTTCGCCAGAGTCCTGCTGTCAAGCTGGCCCTCTGAAGTCAAATTGCTACTCTCTGGCATTCAGCTGTTTTTTCTCTTCTCTCTTCTGCTGCTCGGCTCTGCTGCTCAGCGGCTCTCCGGCTCTGCTGCCCCTCTGCAGTAGAGCCTGGGGTTTTTATGGGTACAGGATGGGGTGCGGAGCAGGCCAAAAAGCAACATTCAAGTGGGAAATCAGGAATGCATGTTCTCACTTTGCGCCGCGGTCCCAGGCTTGAGGGTGTGGCCCTTGTTCGGAACCTCCCTCTTCTACCTAGTATTTTCCTGCCTCATGTCTGTATCAATATTTATGAAGTACTTTTACATTTATGTCTAATATGATTCTCGTAATCATTCTGTGAGGAAGACTGGATGCTCCTCTAAAATGTGGAAACAGAGGCTCAGAGAAGGCATATAACTGGCTTATATTCACAAGTGTCAGAGCTATACTTCTACCCAATTTGTCTAGATTCATCGTCTTTGCTTTGGCTTTTTCACTAAGTTGCTTCTACTGTGACCCCTCCCCTCCTCAAAGTATGAATGAAGACACTTGACTTACAAAAGGGAATTGATTTTGATATGCATGTTTCTAAACTGGATCTCCTGTTCACGTTTTTTCCCCCCCTTGGAGAGGTTATAAAACAAAGTCTACATTTCTCAGACTCCTCTGCAGCTATCATTTTTTATGAAAATGAGTTTCAGCCTACTAGAAGTACTCAGGACCAGTGTCAGAAGGCAGTAGGCAGTCAAATCCTCAATTTTGGCAGCACCTGGCTCCTGTTGCTGGCAGCAAGTTCTTGCAAATTAGCAGGTTTTTTCCAGCAGTATTTGGTGCCCATTTTCAGGGCAGTGGCAGAGACTTATTGTTTTTAACAGAGCTCCTGTGGTAGTCTCAGAAATGGCAGCTCCCCCAGGGAACCAGTTCTATATGGTTCTGAGAGTCCCTGCAGAGTACAGAATAGAATCTGCTTCACGAGTCCTTCCGAAGATTTTGGAAGCACTGAAATCATTAAATAAAGTCTTCTTGTTTAAAATAACTTAAAGTGGCTCATGTCACTTTAAACGCTTGGCAACCTGACTGCTAGAGCTGATCTTTGTCCATTTCTAATAAGTATAAAAAGATTTAAGAGCTTCTTGTGAGATATCTATTGGTTTAAATTCTAAGAAAACAGAGGAAAAAATTGGTAAAACACTGCTCAATACTTATCCTATAAAGATGATTAACATAGTAAATACCTATTTTGCTAGCTGGATACTATTATGTAATGTATGTGACTGTTAAATGTCATGTATTGAGTAGCCAGTGAATACTGTATAGAAAATAGGAGACTACAGTCATTTAAATGAAAAATACCAAATGCACATCAAAACAATTAAGTTCAACTACATTTGAAATAATTGGTTTTCAGTGCATGACTTATGTCAATCACTTTGCTAAGTACTGGGGATACACTGGGTCTAAGATAGAGCTTCTACCTTCATGAAGTTTGAAACTTGGAGACAATTGTTGAAATCAGATAGAAGTGTCTTAATTTTGGTTGAATTTTAACCTAAGATTATTTAATTTTTTAAAAAATACATTATTAATTTTAACTTGTAGGCATTTTCCTAGCAGAAAAGAATAATATCCTTGACACAAACGTCTATAGAGGTTGAAGTCTTCATCCTACTAACATTTCTTTAATAGATATTGAAATTAAAATA